CCAAATATTCAATAACGATCATGTCCTGGATTGTGCTCAATATGTATTGAACTCCGAGCTTGGAGTCAATGCCAGTACGGAATAGGAGGATGTTGCTCAATGATGTCAAACTTAACCTGAAACTATTATTGTTGTTGTTGTAAGTAAGTGTTGTTTATAATCCACGATAGGATGGTAAGGATTAGCTAAGTTGGAGTCGACGTCGTCCAACGGCAGGCCAAAGAAATGTGCCGTTTCGACGAGGTCGKACCAAAGAGAGAGGCGTGTCAGACGAGTAGGGTTTGTGGGGCATTCAAAAAGGTGATCAGTGTCATGGGGACTCTGGACATATATTGAATATGTCGGAGTATATTCTGGACAATTTTGAGTTTAACCTGCTAACCGTAACCAGAACGAAGCTGCGCAAGGATACCTCTCATTTCTTGCGGCAACTGGAGCTCTTCTTATACAATGGGTGATGGTTTAACTCCGAGTACGCCAGGAACAGGTAAAGGTGTTAATGGCTCCACTGTGAATAGTGGTTGTGCTCGGCGGAAGTTAGTTGCGTCTGGTCGGCATATTGTTTGATGTCGTCGACGTAGCTAAGAAATGACTTTTTGATGCTTCTGGGAGGCGGTTTCGCTCAATGCAGRTGACTGCAGAGATGATTTTTGCGAAAGCTCTCCAGCATGAACTGCTTGAAGAGAAAGTTCATTATGCTCCTTAACTACGAGCCTGACTATGCAGGTGTTCGATCAAGAGGCATCGTGTCGTAGTAAGGAGTGGCGATAATCAAATATCCGCATGTCGAGTGAATTATCAGTTCGGAATGAAAACAGTCTCACAGCGTCAAATAGAAAATATACGGCAGACAGCAATTAAGCAGTGGTCCAAGCTATTGGTCCGTTTTCTTCTCGATTCGGAATCGTTCTTTTGACTTTGTCTCCTAGTCCAGATCAAGGTAGTCGTCCTCGTCTTCTTGAAGGACGTGCGCCAGTTGAAGTACACTGTTTCGACTGTTTTTATGGTCTTTGCCTCTGTTGTATGCGAAATGCATTGTTTTCTGGAAACGCAAAAACCATTACCCCTACAGCTTCCTCTTGTCCACGGAATATGATCCTTGCGGCCTTTTGTGACTATTACCTACKCTTTAAGATTTCTYCCTCACCTGATGGTCTGACAATGTWAKAACCTGTTTCGCGTACTCATTGGCGGCTACGTTAGARCTCGAGAAATCAATTCGATGATAAACAGTTACTGTTGTACAGTATCTAAACGCTTTTGAATTCGTTCTCTGRTTTCCTTTCCATAAACTAGAATCGAATTGCGGACCGATTTTGATTTTTATTTTCCAAATCCGCGTAGTTTTGGTAAAAAAAAAACCAGGGAAATTGTCAAACTTGCGTCGAATTGGGTTCCGAACTATTAACCCTCCACCGCAGTCTTCAGATTTGGCCAATCTCCACATTTTTTTGTAATCAAAATTAAAAAAACTCAATCGCCGAACAGTCCAGTCGAGTGCCCATCAGAGATGCAGAAAGTTTCACGATCACAGGAGCATTAGAGAGACTTCAGAGGGGAGCTTCGGAGTATACTTGAATTATGGCATCAAACTATGAACGATAATACTACTTCGGAAGGAGTAGGAAATTAAAGAAGAGGCGAAAAAGACTAAATTCTACAAGTCACTAATCACTCTTGCCCTGGTGCAGAGGTATGGACGATGACAACATCAGATGAGTCGGCGTAACGAGTTTCCGAGTGAAAGGTTTTGCGAAAGATTTGTTTTCCTTTGGCAACAGCGAATACAGCAGTCGATGGAACGACGACGACTGTACGAGATACATATAGTAGTGCCAGAAAGTCTCTGAGCTTTATGAAGGACTTGGGACTTTCTGTACGCACTCTATGCAGCGGAGAGACATGGAGGTCTTCTTTGATTGGAAAGATCTAACTTTCGACTTTGGCAAATGCTGCACTGATAAAGAATTAATTCCACGAACTCTGATAAATTTACAATAAGATGTTCCTTTATTTCTTGGAATAAACAACACCAAAATCTAAAAACTACAGTTAATTTAACCAACTATTATTTATAAATAAATTGACACATTTATAATACCTAGACTAACAAGATTAAATAAGTAAATATGTATATACTATGTAATATGCTATATATAAATACTTGTCGATAGTAAATAGATCAATGCATGTTTATATATGTATTATATATGTATGTACTTCCGAAATGCATATACATATGTATGTATGTGTTTGTAGTATATGCTAAAGTAACTCGTTTCCCGCACGAAAATCTCCAGACATTAAAGGTACAATGGAAGTTTTTAGGGCATTTTAGTTCGTTTCGTATTTGTTGTTTTGTTGGTGGTGACTGTTCGGCGTAGGCAACGCAGTTTTTTGCTTATGAAAATGTTATTGCTTCGCAACTTGAGCGACACTTTTAATGGAGCGTAAATTGCTCGGTAACTGATCAGTCTTTTGTTTTGACGCGTTGACCTTTATGCGTCGATTCGCTATTCCCCATATGCCTGCAAGGCCCTGGGCTGTCGTTGGCAGTGCTGAAGGCAATGGCGAATTGAGCAGTGTAATACGTGGACATAATGATAATCTGTCAAAAGAATAAACCATAGTAAGTTGAATATGAAAGTATTTCGATAAGACGCAAGATAGATAGTTCGAAAGTTTTAAGATAATAATTTTCACGTATTTCAATTCAACCAAAGTTTTTCAAACTGAAATTAAAATCATATAAATAATTTTAAACAAAACACAAAAACTTTCCACCTTCCTCGTTTCTTCAGGAATACAAGAACTCTATTTTTCGGTCAGTTTGTATGGGAACTATATATTACAGTAATCTGAACTGGCAGTTCCGACAGACGCTTTGAAAAGAAAATGATGTGTACAAAATTTCAAATCGATATCTCCAAAATTGAGGCACTAGTTCGCGGATAAATAAACAGACGGACATGAGTAAATCAACTTAATCTACACCGCACCAATATGGTCGCCTAGATGCAGTGAAACCCAGGCGAGGAAGCTCTAAACTTGTCAGGACACCGCCCTACGAAATACGACAGGATGCCTCTTGATGCCTTCTATTGAACACCTGCATAGTGAAACCTGTATGCCTGTAGTTAAGGAGCATAATGAACTCCTCTCCAAGCAGTTCCTGCTGGGGTGCTTTCGCAGAAATCATTACTTCAGTCACCCTCTTAGAGCAGCAATATCAAACAATACGCCAACCAGACTCAACTAACTTCTGACAAGAACTGACCGCAATTCACAATGGAACCCACCATCAACAGCTTCACCGACTTCCTCTCAGTGAATGGCGTACTTTATGTCCACCACTCATTGCAGACGAAGAGTTCGAATTGCCGCTAGAAACGAGAATGACCCTTTCCAGAATAGATCACGACATATCTAATACATGTCCTGCTTTCAATGAATCTCCGCATGACAATGACCACCACTTTTCATTCCCCACTAACCCCACGCAACTGACACCTATCCCTTTGGCCCGACCCCGTTGAAACAGCACTTTGGATGACGTCGACGACAACTTATCTAATCCTTACCATCCGGCGGTTGGGTACTCGTTACAACAACAACAACTAAATCGATTCMGCCCTTCAAACTGAACATTTATATAGACAAGGTACTTTCCCAAGTAAACAGGACTTTTTGAATATAGCGCCCCCTGGCGGTAACATCTATATGTCGACTGATGCGTTAGAATCTGCTGTCTTTATCGAATGTCCAGCGAGAATTTCATGACATTTCATTGTTTGCAAGTGAAGTTATTGCGTTTTAAGTGTCAGTATGTATRTGTTATCGGTGCGAAAATAAGCTTCGAACAAAGAGCCGACATTAAATTTTGTTTTAAAATTGGTAAAATTTTTACCGAAACCTTTCAATTGATGAAACAAGTTTATGGAGATGATTGCCTATCCTGTAGCAGAGTGCACGAGTTTTCAAAGTGGTCGTGAGGACAGGAAATCATCTCTGAAATTTGTGGAAATGGAATTGATMATCTCCAAAWCCTCGATTTATCGCATAAATAAACTGACGACCAAAAATTCCTCAGAATCCAACATTCGAAGTACATCATTGTGACCGATTATTTGACCAAAAATCACATTTTAACCATTAACCACTTGCTGTATTCACCTGATATGGCACCGTGAGATTTTTTCCATGAAAGGAAAATGTTATGCAGACGTAGAGACTATGCAAAAGCCTTGCACCAGCATACTGACGGCCATACCGGCCAACGAGCTAAAACACTCTTCCGACATGCTTTTGGAACGTTCAAAAAGCTACGAGGTGTTCAAAAAGTATCGCGAATTTTTTTAAAAATTATTTATTTATTCATTAATATCTATTTTGTCCCCTTCAAAGTAATCCCCATGAGATAATATACACTTGTGCCAATGGTTTTTCCAATCTTCGAAGCACTTCAAAAAATCACTTTTTTGTATCTTCTTCCACTCCTCCGCGGCATCGAACGTCTTTATCTCGTCAGAAGAAGCGTAACGTCATCCTTTCATGGGCCTCTTCAGTTTAGGGAACAAGAAAAAGTCACAGGGGGCCAGATCTGTGGAATATCGTGGCTGCGGCATCATTAGTGTGTTGTTTTTGGCCAAAAAGTCGCGCACAAGCAACGATGTGTGAGTAGGGGCGTTATCGTGGTGCAAAAGCTGATTTTTGTAACATCGTCTCGGCCTTCTGAGAACATTTTGTACCACCGATAAATGTTGCTTCGGTCAACATTCGGAACTCACAACTCGGAACATTCCGCGCACGTGCAAGCAAAGCAGCTGTCAACAATTAAATGAACATTCAAAATGGCCGAGCTTGTCGGTATCAGTGAGAGACATGAGTACCAACATAACGCCACAAAAAATTCGAAATTCGAATATAAGTAGCCCGCGAAAACTTAAAATTCGCGATACTTTTTGAACACACCGTATATTGAAGCAGAAGGAAACTATTTTTAATAAAATTAATTGATTTTGATGAAAAATCATTWGTAAATATTAATAACAATCCATTAAACTATATTCTCTAACGAATTATAAATTGCAAGTATYCCCTCGAAAAGAGCCGAATCAATCWCAAATTCAGGAATTTAGATGTAATAAAATTTTTGGAATAATGTTTACTTACTCTTGAATACGGCACTGGTGTCAAGAACATATGAATGCCAATAACTGAATCGGATAGGAGAAACAGTACTGTACCCACAGCACAGAAGTTATTTATGAAGCTGGAGTTTTGGAGAGCGCGAGCAACGGCACGCCAACAAGTGGTCGCTAAAAGGGCAGTATAAATAGGAACGCCAATAGCCAGCACACCGTCCAGACGGGTGAAAGCCAACGAAATAGCTGAAATATTTAGAAGTAATTAATAATATTGTAAAAATGTTAAAAGTTATTAGTTTATAGAAGGATTTTTTTCACGAACTCAGTGTTTAGTGTTAAATTTAGTTCCTTCTACATCTAGCGTTAATTTCTTTACTATGTATGTTAAGCCAGTTTTTGGAGCTCGCATATATATACTATATATTGGGATGTATGCAAGCGWGGAAATGAAATCACCCGGTCAGATRCAGACAGATTGCTCTTTCGAGGCTACCAATTGTTCTGCAGAGCTTTCCTTTCGCACTTTTATTTGTTATTATCTACCTTACTTACCCAAAGCACCGCAAATGTACAATGCCACACCGATTGGCAGTCTCAAAGGTTTCCAACCAAACGCTGATATGTACCAGATATGACCGATAGCAAATGCACCCATGCCTTCCAGGAAGAGATTAATATTGAGCAAYGCATCGCCGACGCATGAGCAAACTAAGCCGAGCAGTATGCGCTGAGAGTATTTATAACTACATACATACGAGTATAGTAAGTGTAGAAAAAGAAATTAATGACGATTTTAAATCAGATATATGACGAATTGACTTACGCAGGCGTAAAGGCGAATCCTTTGACCACAACATACAAAATTAACATCACAATCGGCAGACATTTCAGAACTGTTGTCCAGAGTTCGCCGCGTGGATCTTGTACGAAGGTAAAGTAAACAAAAACTGCATTGAAGAAGGGCATCAATTTCAATGTTTGCGTTCTTAGCTGAAATTAGAAGACACAAAAATTATAAGGTCGCATGTATATATAGAGCTACATAATTGTTTTAGATATTTGTTTGGTATTGTAATTAGATTGATAGAACGTTAGATCTTGCTATAAACAAAACAGTTATTAGCTGTTGTTTTTGGAATGTTAAGTCTTTGTTAAGAGTTCAAAGTCAGTCAAATTTCTAAAGCCATGACTCTTTGCTTCTTAATTTCGGTATATTATTTCCTTACTTCTTTCTATTGTTTCCTTCCTTAACGATCACTTTATAATGTACACGAAATTTCCTTTTCTTATGTTGTTTCGAAATTCGCATCCGCACAAACCAATTAACCGAGAGCAGTTCTTCTGCAAGTTACTGTTAAGTACAACCAGTGACCGAAGATGGGGGTGATCAAGGACATTTCCTCCCAGGCCCGGTATTCTCATGGGGYGCTTACTTGTTGATTTGCAGCTTTTATGGAACTAGTGACGCGCGATATTTAATAAAGGTCGAACAGTTGTTAATATTGCTTTGCCAACTGTAATAATAATTGCTTTATCGGTCAATTGTAAAAAGAACCTCGCTAAAAACGTGCCCATGCTTTCCAACTGCCAGGATGTCATGAAACATATTACTGGTGACGAGTCTTGAATATATGCTCATGACCCGGAAACAGACAATCAATCAGCTGAATGTCGTGTYAAAGTTKAGCTGAAGGCGGAAAAACCAYGTCAAAGCAGGCAAAAATCAAGGTTATGTTGACAGTTGGCTTCGATTATCGAGGTGTGGTGCACTCGGAATTCCTTCGGACCGGYCAAACTGTTAACAGGAAAYACTATTTGAGTGTTATGCGTCGTTTGTGCGAAACTATTCCTTAAAAGAGCCCGAAATTCTGGGGTGACAACTCTTGGCTTTTACAGCACGACAATGCACCGTCGCATACTGCATTGATTCTTCGTGAGTTTTTCGCCAAATTTTCAACCATTATATCCTGCTGCAACCAGCGTATTCGACTGATTTAGCACCGTGTGACTTCTGGATATTCAGCAAGCTCAAACGACCGCTCCGGGGAAACCGTTTTGAGTCAATTGAAGGCATTAAATTTGAATCATTAAGCGCATTGAAGGCTGTTCCGGAAATCGACTTTAACAACTGTTTCGAAGATTGAAAAAAAAAAACAAAAAAACAAAAAAAAAAAACGTTGACACAAGTGTATTGGGTCCAAGGGGGATTACTTTGAAGGAACGACATAGATTTGTTTGAAGAATATATTAAGAATTTTAAAATAATGAACAAAGTTTTACTTTTTTGTGCTCAGTATTATGTATAAATCTTTTGGAATCAAATTATTCAATATATGAAAAGCGTCACTATTTTCATTAAAAGTAGAGTATCATAATTTCAATTATCAATGTAAAAAATATAACCRTTATTATTTCAACTTTACTGTTCCTCACTAAACGCGTGAAGCTATACAAAGTACAACAACATCTAGATATGTATGATATGTACATATGTATATAAGCACAAATGTGTACTTAAAGATATAACAACAATTTCACTGAACAATTTATCCACTGGCATGGACGCTAAATGTGAAGCTAAACAACACAAAGGGTTGCCATCGACTTAATGACAGTCTAGAGCGCTGCGAACGCAAATCAAACTGACGAATTGGAATGGGAAAATGCAAAAGCGCGCGCACTCACCTGTCACTCAATTCACTGATAATTTATCATGAATGTGCATATAAATGCAAAGTAATTGTGTCAATTGTTAGTGCAATTGTCAAACGAAAATACAAATAACGAATCTAGAATAAGTTCGGTGGCATACAATGGCTTGTGACGGCGCGGAGGCGGAACAGCCCCCGATCGCTGAAGCGTGTAAATGTGCATGTTAGAGAGGTTTGGCGCTTCACTGCTTGCTTTGTTTGAGCTCTGCTCTCTTATCAGAWAAAATACATGTGAAAGCAAGAACAAAATTATCCATTTGATCTCAAGGTGAGAGTTTATGAGGATATATCTTTCAAATATTATAGTATAACGCTTTACTACTTTATCTTTATTTCATAAAGCTAGTCTATTCTCTGATTTATATGACATGTGTGATCCGTAACTCTCAAAAATTTAATGTCAACAAGAAAAGATCGGTCGGTTTGAATGACAGCTAWAAGCTTTGGTAGTACGATCTAAATGATAATCATCTCAGAATTTTTTTCTGAAGATACCTCGTTAAATGAAAAAGATTGGTAGKAGAAGGACATGWCCGAAATTTCAKATCAATATCTTAAAAACAGAAAATCTAGCGCGTATGCGATCCAACCCTTGGCAATCCATTCAGAGGAGTATGGGAGCTCAACTGGTAGTAGTTTCGGCTATGAGGTCGGACCGGAAACTTAATGCTGGTATCACAAACACAAATCCTTAAGCCCACTAGAGTCAATAAAAATATTCACGATCAACTTCCGATATAACCAATTGCCATAACTTTTTAACCAATAGAATTATTGACAACGACCTTGTTTGGTTTCGTGGCAACAAGGACAAAGAATATTATTTTAGAATTTCAGAAGAACCATTTTGATTCGTGGTTTTCTCTATAGGACTTTTCTCCTCTGATGGCGACCATCAAAAGCTAGTTTATCGTATTTCAACGTCGTCGAACATCGGTTTTTGATGACCCACGGCAACATCGATTCACTAGTATATCAGAAAACGGCGATTACCGAAGTAGTTTAAGGCAGTCTTATCGGCTAAAAGGATGGTAGCCACTGTTTGCTGGGCTTTACAAGCTTTGATSTACATCGTCTACAGTACAAGGGCAAAACGGTTACTCGACTCTATTATACTTATTTTTTTTCGCTACTTGCTTAGTACTTGGATTTGGGAGGTTGCGTTTGTTTTAAAATAGCCATGTTTTCTGTATTCTGAGTCTCTAATCAAAAAAAAAAAAAAAAAAAAAAAAAAAAAAAAAAAAAAAAAAAAAAAAAAAAAAAAAAAAAAAAAATAAAAAATAAAAAAAAACAATACTTCGATACAATTTCAAAATTTGTGCATATGTGTGTATGTACATTTATACCTCCAAATTCAAAAATATATTTGCTGATTATTAATTTTAAATAATTATCGAAAATATACAAACAGCATGTACGCATGTTAAACGATATATTCTTAGATATACATAAATGTGTATATACTCGTATGTATATTACCCATAAAGTCTAAATATCAGTGCATCTCTTTGGCCAACTTTTACTTTCATCTGCTCTCACTCGCTGAAGCATACTCGTATAAAGCTTTATCTCAGCGCAGCATTGAAAATGTTCTCCATAGTCTTGACACAATGTACAGCCGAAACAATAACAAACGCCCTTACTCTCAGATAAACGAGGTTAGGGAGAAAACTGTGATACAGGCATAAAAGCGAATAGGTGCAGTGAAAAAAAAAAAAACCGAAAACGGAAAATCTGTAACGACAAGGTCAAGGACATGAAAAACGCAAGTGGTTGAAACATGTGGGCCCATAGTTGGCAGGAACACAAATATGGCAGTATCAATGTGAATAAATATTTATGTGCATACATTGCATAACTCTAAAAGCAAGTAAAGTGAAGCCAATGAAAACAGTAACTTTTTTAGATTTTTTTTAAATAAAAATAAAATCGGAAACTTTTAAAAATGTTTATATTAACTAAAAAAAAACTCGAATAACGTCATTATTTAACAAAATTATGAACGAATCGACATCATGTATTTTTTTCCAGGTCATCTAACTACTTACATACATATACATAGCAACTTTATAACATAAATCCCTGTATTAATTATATAAGTACTGAAAGGAAGTATGGATCGAGAGTTAAGCGAAATATCATTGACTTAAATGCGCTGAACAGAATATATTAGGTTTCCCATGAAGTTTGTAACACCCAGAAGGAAACATCGCAGACCCTAAAATTAATATTATATATACACCCAACTTGAGACCTAGCATTATTTCATCGTATAGACCACGTCCAGCACGCAGTGAAGAAAATATAGCAGCCGTAGCTGAGATTGTACRTGAAGACCGTGGAGAGTCGATTCGGYGACATTCGCAGCAGCTCCGACTGACGTATGGAACAACTTKGCGCATTTTACGTCGAGATATGAATTGAAAGCGTACAAAATACAACTTGTGTAAGAACTGAAGCCACRCAMCRTTAGACTTTTTCCTCTGGGGATATGTAGGTCTGGAACCAAAACATTACGCGTGTCATTTGCCAGTTACCAGTCGAAATGCTYGAACGAGACATCGAAAATTGGACTCAACGCATGGACAATCAGAGACGTAGCCGCGCTAAATTTGMAAGTGATAMTCTTCAAAAAATAAATGCTAAAGATTGATTTTTCGAATGATAATAAAYATTCCCCAATAAATTTGAYGTTTTGTGTTTTCTCTTTACAAAAATAGAGAACCTTSAAATATATCTTGTCTTTAACTGATCAGCAGAGCTGATTTAGGCGCAGTATTTGTTTACGGCTTTTTCTTATTTCTTTCATCAAGACATCGCKATTCACAGTCGAGTTATACACGAAAGGCAGAACGTTCACACCGATAACAGGACACTGTTTTTTGTTTCTTATCCACATTGAGCGTGCGCTTGAGATTAGTTAAGGAATGCTTGTCTCATTATTAATACCATCAAACTACTGCCAAATGGAACTAGTAGGGATGACTGGCCACAGCGTAATCTAAAGGATCTGCAAAGCTATTGAGCTTGCAAGGAAAGKCGCTCTTATAAACCGCTGGAATGTAATCCTTAGCAAGGTTCGTTTTATTTTGAATGCAGATCACCAGGTCTGCTCGGCAAGGTGGCCTATCATAAGCCRCAGTCAATCGATGATTAATGATTGAGTCAAAATCTTTTGTGGGGGTTCTTTAGCTGTTTTTGAACCTCTTCATAGGATTCTAACGAATGAAAACACAAACGAACAGGCATATCCCGAGGAAGAATTTTACCACATCAATCAAATAATTGTATATACGCGTATGTACATACACACATATATAACTCCATATAACTGGATTTCATTGGTTTATGTGATTATAACTATAATTATGATTGAAAATTCCATCATATACTACAATATAATAAAGACATAAATTAATCTTCGTACAATGACTGCGTTCATTTAACGATTGACTAAAATCGAAATAATTCCACAAAAATCATATCCAAGCTAAMTTTTTGCTTGTTGGACATAAATACTTATGTATGTACATATGTATGTATATATTATATTTACAATACATTTTATGAGAATTACTCGAAATTATTACAATAAATTGGCGAATAATAGCTTGCCCCTAACAATCAAGCTCAATCGTTTGAGAAATGTGTGTGTACTATTTGGGGCTGTGGGAAGATGACATAGCGCATTCTTTGTAAGGATTTATGCAATCCACGCACGAAAGTGGCTCTAAAAAGCGAAAGCGCCAAATAAAACAATAAATTAGCAAAATTACTTCAAGTTCCGGTGTGCTTGACTTGGCTCATTTGCATAATAATGCGAGGAAGTGTGTTTACGCAAGTAGTATTTGCTTAGGTATTCTTTTCAAGTTGAGCATGTAACCAAAGATTATCGTTTTATTAAATCCAGGCATCCATCAAAGAAAATAATTGCGTATRCGCTATGATAAACACTTGGATGGTAGATACCAGTGAACTACTAGTCCTCACGTCAGCTCTGTAGTTCGTTGAATGGAAGCATTGCAGAGGATTAGTATACCTAAAGGTGTGTCGGAAATAAAATGTGTGATTGTAAAGTGGAAAGTCCGCTTTTTTTAGAATGGTAAAGCCCGACTTTATATTTCCCGTGTCAAGCTCAGAGAATGCGTTTTTGGTCACTAGTCTTTTTTGAATGAACTTGCGAAGTGGTAAAGTAGGTAAGGACTGATGTGTTCTTTGTCTTTATTAGCTTGAATCAATCCCAATCAATCAATCAATTTTATAGACGGGCCCAAAATAGAGAGCGAAGTATTCGCAATGGAATTGCCAAACAAGTAGATATCACTAACTCTTTTTTTTTTCAATTTTAATCGGTACCTTCTTAGTGAAAGTACTAAACATTAT